GTTTTTTTTTTTTTTTTTGGTGGTGTAGAACGGTGAGCGGGGTGGATCCCCGATAGGAATAAAAATGAGAGTGTTGTGACTGAGGGGGGTGAGTGAGAACAGAGGATAATAAAAATATATATAGAGAGAGAGAAAAATAAATAAATAAATAATAACGTAATGGAAATCAAAAGAGAGAGAGAGAGAGTGGGGTGTTGTGTTGTGTGGGTAGAGAATAAAGAAAAGAAAAGAAAGGTGATCATTTGGTGGAAGAAAAAGGAGCTGTGGGGAACATGGCGTGATTAAAAAAAAAAAAGAAGGGAGTGTTGTGTGATCAGACTGTTAGTCTTTTAAGTATGTGTGATAAAATAAAAGAAAATAAAATAAAATAAAAAGAAAGTGGGGTGGTGGAAAATTATTGTTAGACAGAGAAAAGGCATGTGGGTTGTTGTCCATTGTGGAGGCACTATGTCCAGTGGGGTGGCGGTGGTGGTGTGGTGAGAGTGTGTGTTGTGCATGTGTGTGGTGTGTTGCTGCCGTGAGTGTGTGTGCATGGCTGTGTGTGTATGGATCGGCCATGCAGAGAGAGAAAGAGAGCCAAAATTCATGAATTGTGTGTTTGGGTCTTCCCCATTCTCTCTCTCTAGACCCCGTGTGTCTCTCCCTCTGTTGTTCAGCCCGTGTTGTCTTATTATGTTTTTTTTTTTTGGCTTAGATCCAATCCCTCACCAGAGAGAGAGAGAGAGAGATGATCAACTTCATGGAAAAGCTGGTCCTCGGCGCCACTCCAGCCAGCGAGCTCATCGGCGGCGGCTGCGTCGGTGGTGAGCTAGCAAGAACCTGTGTCACGGCGTCTACAGCAGTGGTGACAGGTGGCGTGGTCGACGTTGGCCAGATCACGGCGTCGGTGGCTGTCGTGTGGGCCGATGGAGTGCTCGACGACGTGGGTAAGATCTATATTGTAACAAAGCTGCAGCAAGAAATGGTGATGGTTCACGGCAGCAAGAAATGTGGCCTCAAAGGTGAGAGTGATGGTCTGTGTAGAGGTTCGGCGGGCGGCCAAGGCGAGACTGCTGCCTGCCAGTGAAGCAGAATGACTAGGTTGTTAACCTAGTTCTGATACCATGTAAGAAAAATCTCTCCAGATATAAACCTTAAGATCCAAAAATAAGATCTGAAGAAGTTCCATCAATCACTTAGTTTTGGGAGAAAACCAAGTATTTATAGAGAACCAAAAGTAATCCTAGATTCAGAAGAAAATCAACTCCTTAATCAAATCTTGGAAATCTGGATCGCGCGGTCCGCTCGAGCTCAACACAGCCCGCTTGAGCGGACTGACCAAAAACTGCGTGCAAACAAACTGAGATGCGCTCGAGCGTAGGAGAATCCGCTCGAGCGTAAAATCACACCCACCAATATTTTTTGCTTGCCCTGACAAAATACTGAGACCTGCTAATCTACGCTCGAGCTCACAAGGCTCCGCTCGAGCGGACAGAACAAAAACACAAAAAATTACAATTGAATCAACACAATGTTTTGTCTCCGGATTTGACAACATAGGTAGTACCTTCTCTGAAAAGCACAATTCAGGTTGGATTCGCATCTAAACACTCATAGCCTCATTGAAATAAAAGTGCGAAAAAAAATACAACTGAAAGGAGTTTTGTCAAACGGAGTTGCCAAGAATAAAACCTAACAATTCCAATCAATAAAAATTTGATTACAAATATGAGATTAATTAGATTAGATTAGACAATTATAATCCAACAACTCATATTTACAAGTCTAACAACTACCAAGCCTAACAATCACCTCAAAGAAATCAACTTCATAAACAATTTTTATAAGAGAGAAATAATCAAATAGTTTCAAACTTATCTCCTTAAGATTTAAACCTGCAACCTTATACCCCAATGTGGTGTCATACAACCAATGGCTTTGATCTAATCCCTTCACTTAGCGTTACTTATCAAACAATAATGTCAGAAATACTAATAAATTTACTAATTACACAAATTCGACCAGTTAGAACCTCTCCAATTCTTAATTTTATTGTTCCATCAAATTTAAATTTTATGAAAAAAGTGCTTAAAAACTATTTTCAATCATTTTATCAAATATTTATCAAATCAAGAAAGAAATATTTTTTCATCGAATTGAGAGTTTATCAAATTCTTCATCGATTTGAATTTTTAAAAAAGATAAAACATTGAAGATTTTTTTCATTAAATTGATGAAAAGAAAATTTTGGAATAAGAATAGAATTTTTAAAAAGATTTTGATAAAAAAATTTCATTTCAAATTAAATTTTGGGTAAATTACACCATTAGCTCCTATAGTTTAATTAAAGGTTGAGCTTCTCTCATATTGAGAGACCCACGGGGCCTATCATGGTTATCGTTTCGATAATCCGAACTGTTCATTTTATAAAACTCCCAATGTATATCATTCATAAAAAAAATTTAGGTCACTTCCATACTCGTAACATTTTAATTTTATCGCATTTGCCTCTAAAAAAATAGACGGTCTATCTCAAAAATATATTTGTTGTTCATTTTTTCAAAGACAAATGCGATAAAATGAAAAAGTTACGATTATTATATCAAACTTTTTTTATTTTATTTTATGGATAATGTACATTGAAGACTCTACAAAATGAATGGTTTTGATCATTGAAACGACACTCATGATAGGCCCTATAAATTTCTCAAGTTCTCTACAAAATAAATGGTTTTAATCATTGAAACGACGCTCATGATGGGCCTTATAAATTCCTCAAGTTTTCTCATATTGAAATCTCAGAATGAGAAAAACCTAATCATTAAGGATAAATTACACTGACACCACCGCTGTGTTGAAATACAACTTCTTAATTTACGATAAGTTATTAGCTAATTCAGTTGCAATACCACACTATGTACCTTGTGATTGGTGGAAGGAGTGAAAACATGATTTTGTATTGGATAATTATGGAAAATGAGAGAATATGGTAGTTTATGATTGGCTAAGAGTATAGACACGTGGTATCCCTCGACCAACCAATAATTTGTTCTTAAATTATGTTGGTTGTATAATAAATAATGTTTAAAAACTCTAATTGAGGATCATAATTCATCCCTAATGATATAAAATAAACTATGTACATAGGTGAATCCAAACAGCTTTTTCTAACTCCCTCTTTCACCTCATTAACGGTTTGTTTGGGAAGTAGGTTGGTATATTGACTTTTTGACTATTTTAGTTTGGGGCTAAAAAGTTTCATTTGGGAAGAGCCGCTTGGCTTTTTTGATTTTTTGTAAGAGAAAGAACGTAATGATTATGGGTTGAGGGAAATTTTATTTCTACACACCTATTTATCTCAGTACATACACTTAATGAAATATTATTTTAATGACTATTATATTCTAAAATAAAATGACTATAATGGATATCAAAATACACTTAAGATTATATTCAAATCTTCTCTATACACATATTTTTTAAACAAAAAAAATCACATTGCACATCTTTTAAATAAAAAAAAAAAACCATAATTTATCCATTATTTCTCCCCTCTTCCATTATTTTCTCACTTGCTTACAAAAACAATACTCTCAAAATTCACTTGCTGTGGCTGCCATTTATAGGTGTGTGAATCACGGGTCTAATGGAAATGTACCTGAGAACAGTTTTAAGAACTACGGCGATGGTGGTAATGCCGCCATTGATGAGTTCATGAAATACAGAGAGAAATCAAATGTTGGTGACAATTCGTTTTAATTGTACGCGAAGAATTTGAATTCGGGGACTGTGAAATTTAAGAGCTATGGATAATCGTTCAACGAATGCACAGACAAGTTCAATGGGTATGGAAAAGGTGGTTCGGATTGGAAAATTGGGTTCGAAACCTACGGAGTCAACAATACATTCGCAGATTATGATAAGAAAAAGGGTGTCTTGTTTGCTAGATATCTCAATGAGAACTCTGATGAATGGCAATGCCAGATTAGTATAGATGAGTGGAGTTGGGTAAATTTTTCACGTGTGTGGAAAAGGAATTCAAAATGGGTGAAGGTGTGTGTAAGAAAGGTTTAGATAGTGTATATTCAATGATACGAGTTAAGATATAATTGAAACATTAAATGTGCGGAATGAAAATAACAATTAATAATCAAATTAATAAATATGTATATTAAGAAATAATATGTACTGAGATAAGTAGGTATGTAAAAATAAAATTTCTTATGAATTGAATTAAAAAATTTATTTTATTTTTTTATAATTAAAATAATCCTAAATTCAGTCCAATCTTTCTTCTCAAACGAAACATAAGAATCGAAATAAAGATGCTGTATTAGGGAAGGTGGAGCACCACGAATGGTATAATTCGCACCCACCGTATTGTTCGAAACTTCATCATGTTCTGGAAGGCGGAAATCCATAAATGGGACGTGGCCGAATACACATCCGTTGATTTGTATGGATTCAGTACCGTCTACGCTTTACTCCCCACCTCTGCCTACGGGTGTCAGCTGTGCAATTGGAGCGATTTGAATATAAATTATAAATTAAATGACAGGTTAAAGGATTAGTAGATTGACAAATTATGATTTAATCAATTTTTACCGAAGGAGGGATTAAAAAATATTTTATTTAATTATCATATATTTATATAATATATAAAATTAATTTATATAATATTTTTTGAATATATAATATTTTCATATATATAATTGCTAATTTATGATAAATTTGATATCTTAAATTTCTATCATACTCGTTTTTATATTAAAATTTTATTAGAGGTTAAAATATATATATATTAACTATAATAAAATAGAACGGTTTAATTAACCGATAATAAATTTTAAAATTTAAATCACGGCTAATAATTAGAGCAGTACGAATCAATACAAATTGATATAATTTTAATCAATTTAGCGGTATTTTATACAGTATTATCTCTGCCTTTGTCTCTGCGTATATAGCAAGCACATCACCATAATTCCAAGCTCTCCAATTTTTATTTTTTATTTTTTATTTTTATTTTTTTTTTTAACGAACGATTCCAAGCTCTCTAATCTCTCTCTCTCTCTCTCAACTTTCTCTTTCTAGTCTATCCCAAAAGAAAAAATGAAAACACCTATCCCCACCCCCATCATAGTTTCTCCCATTTTCCCGGGAAAATGGCCAAGAAAAACAGCCCAACTCCTTGTTTCAGCCATGAGTCTTGTTGTCTTCCTTTTCCTAGATTTTCTCGACATTGTTCTTTGTGTAATCTACAGATTCGTGGACCAATTCACGGAAGGAAACACAACCCCCTCGTGTTACTGCCACCGCAACAGGGAAGAAGAGAGGAGGAGGTCTAATTATGACAGAGAAGGTGAAGTGTCAGAGACTCTGTATGGAATTGGAAGGAGAAATGTGTTCAGGGAAATGGGTTTCTCGAGAAAATGGAATGGTTTGAAGGAAAATGGAGGTGGAGGTGGGATGTTGAGGAGGAGGAATAGGTGGTCTGATTGTGGGTGTGAGAGTTGTGTTTCATGGATGAATAGCAATGGTGATTATATGAGGAGGCTTCTTCATGTGGTTGTCAAAGAATCATCAACAGGTATATTTTTAGAGCAAACATAGTTCTTTTCATTCTATGAAAACTGTTGAAATTTCAGGCTTACCCAACCTTGGATTTGTCCATAAAATTTCTCTCCATTTCATAGGGAGGCTTTTAATCTCTAACCATTCTCCATAAATCTCTCTATTTTCATTCACCATAGAAAAAAATATGAAAATTCAATACAAATGCCGGCAGCCCAACCGTCAGCGTAATTTTAATATGGAGAATAGTCACGACAGCCATTAAAAATGTGTAAATAATATATTTATATATATAAAATAATTTAGAATTATGTAAAAGTGTATTGACATTATTATTTTGATATTATGTGTTCTGTTCTCATTCTATTTATTGGTGATACTAGTATTTTACTCTTTTAATATGACATCAGGTCCAATTATTAATCGTTTATAGAGATAAAGACTTGATTAATGAAATTGTTTAGTAAGAAGGATAAATTATTATTTTAAAGGAACTTTTTTTCCATTTCTATCCCACCATGCTAGATCGAGACCACTCTTGGCACAAGAAAAGTTATTGAAAAAGTTGCCAGTGGCTGCGGCTACTAGTGGTGGTGGTGATACGGATTGATAAACAAATTAGGTGGACATATAAGTGACATGTAAAGACAAAAGAAAAAATGACACGTGAACAAATAGGTGACAGGACAGTGATAGTCGACAGATAGGAAAGAGTCCTATAACCTTTCAAATTAGTCCTTTTGACCCTAAAAGAATAGAGTTTGGCTATTGTCTGAAAAGTATCAAATTGTGTTTATAGCCTGGGTGCCTTTTAATACAAGGGGGAAAGATTATTATGCACTTTATAATTAAAGAATAAAAGGGCATAATTCTATATTTTTTAAGTCATAATTATAAAAAAAAAAAGAAGTCATAACCAAACATTCAATGAATCATAACTAAAATAATATCATAACTAAAAAATAAAATGATATAACTAAAAGCATATCTAGTACACCCCTTTCAAAGGGTGTGCATAGTATAATTTCCCAATATAAGGCTCTTTTTATATTTAACGAATATTTATTATTTATTATATTTTATTATTAATGTAAAATTCTATTTTTGTTCTTATAAATACAATTTAGAAACTTTGTTTACAGACTTTATTATTGGAGCCTTTAGTCAAGATTTTAGTTGAGTGTACGTGGTGATTTCATTTGGGCCTTTAACCAAGATTTTTTTTTTTTTTTGCTATTATGATTGAGCCTTTAAACAATAAGAATTTTGTTATAGAGACTTGGATATATAAGTTTATTATGAATTTTTGAACGAAAAATGTGATTTCAGTATTTATGATGAGTGGCATTTCACAATGATTTATTTTTTTTTTAAATTTTATGAACTTTTAAACAACGGGTATTTTTTTTTTGGGGCTTGGACAAAGAGAGTTGAAGTTTGGATAACCTTCCAAAGTTGGGGCCTAAACCGACCACTTTGGTTGCTGTAGGCTTGAACTGCCGCCTATAAAGCATGGGGCGGGTACGGATATGGGTACAGGTAAATTCAGCTCACCGTATCCATGTCATACCCATGATGTACCCAAACGTATTTGTAGTACCCGGCATGTATTCGACATATCCAGTACGCATACCGTCAAATTGGTACGCGTACTAGCACCCAGTACTCGTACGATACTATTTTTGGAGTACCCTGTGCTTCGTAGGCTGCTGCCAATGGGCATATAATGAAATTCTTTGTTTAGAAAGAAAGAAAAGGAATTGAAAATGAGGCTTTGGAGCATGATCGTCATCACCACATCACTGAGAATTTTAACTCACTCTCTCTTTAGAGATTAATAAGATTACCAATTAATCCTATATTTTGTTTTGATTTGATTCCAATTATATTTACTTCCACTCCATCATTGTTGTCAAATTTAGTATTAGATAGCTATTGATTTCTCTTCCCTTTGGTGGTTGTAGTAGAAGATGGTTACTTATGTTGTTGGAATTGTATGTTTGACAGCTACCTTTGGGGATGATTGCAGGGGAGACAAGCCAATGGAAAATGTGATATTCTTACATGGCTTCATCTCATCCTCCGCATTTTGGACTGAAACAGTGTTTCCTAACTTATCCGAACCTACAAAGCGCAATTACAGATTCTTCACGGTAGACCTCTTAGGGTTCGGAAGAAGCCCAAAGCCAAGAGATTGTTTATACACTTTGAGGGATCACTTGGAAATGATTGAGAAATCAGTCATACATCCTTTTCAGTTGGGTTCTTTCCATTTGGTTGCACATTCAATGGGTTGTGTAATTGCATTAGCATTAGCTGCAAAGTACTCCAAGTCTGTTAAATCGATCACCCTCATAGCACCGGTGAGTGCACAAACTTGTTTGATAGAAAATCAAGACTTGGTTTATTTGTTTTGTGCTCATTTATCAATCTTATACTGGATTTTTTTGGGGGTTATTTTTGTTAATTTCAGCCCTACTTTCCTTCTCCTGAAAATGATGCTAGCTTGACAGCACTTAGAAGACTTGCAGACAGGAAATTATGGCCACCATTGTTGTTTGGATCGGCAGTTATGTCGTGGTATGAGCATTTGGGTAGATGCGTATGTTTCCTTGTTTGCCGGAACCATAGGACATGGGAATGGATTCTGAAGCTACTCACCAGAAGAAGGTATCAAATTATCTTTTATGTTCCGTTTGTGTTGACAGAAAATATTTTCAAATAAAACGTTTTTTTATGTTTGGTTATATCTTTGAAACTAGTGCACTAATGGTTGCATTAGTGGTGGTGGCGGCAGCGGGGCAGAGGTGGAGGTGGTCATAGTATAGTGACATTAGTAAGACTTGGTCCAGAAAATGTTTTCTAACTTTCAAAAGTAGAAAACATTTTTCGCACTAATAGGTATGTTTTTCGTTGATCCATGATAAAAATTTGCTGTTGACTTTTATTTTTTATTATACCAAACGTTAGAAAATACGAAAAACATTTTCTAAAAAATAGTTTATATCCAAACAAATGGAGTGTTATTTTTTCCCTAAGATAGGAGGAAAGAAACGGTTTCTATATCTCTTGGAGAGGAATGATTGATATCTAATTAATGCCTCTATTAATAATGAATAGGTCTTGATAAAAGGCTAATAGGGATTGATATCTAACCTAATGCCTCTATTTAAGGGGACATATTAAGGTGCAAAAATGTTTTGTACCCAATTTACACCTCCCAAAGCCCAATCTGATGTGGACTAAACAATGCAATCCAGACCTAAACAGATGCTGCAAATGCTGTGAAACAAGGCCAATGGTCTGTAATGGGTCCTAGAAGGGTAATAGAGAGAAGAATAGTCTCTAAAGTAGCTATTTAAATTTAACATAGATTGCATTACTTTAGCTGCGCACCAACTTATGTAGACCTAATTCTAGGATACAAGTGGTACATTGCATGTTTACTAAATCACCACTTTAACAAACATTTTAGTACTGTTTGATTCCAAGGTTTATGTAGTCAAAGTCATATAGGACTATTACTTAAGCACAAAATTCAAACAAAGAATCAGATAGATGGTCCAAAAACACAAATAATTTCAGATTTTGAATGTGCAGGAAAAATAGGCAGAACTTGGCTGCATTACTAAACTAGGCATACTGTTTTTTTTTTCTCTTCTAATTTGTACGCAAGTCCTGCTCTAAATGCTCTAATATAAGCCTAAGTCATCCCTTAAAATCCAAACCGCGTCTGAGGCAGGTTCTGGATAATCCATTCAACATTTTTCTTTTCTCTCTTGTGAGTATGATTTGCTTGTTTTCATCTTCTTTCAGGGATCTGCATTTCACTGTTATCAACATGACGAGGCACACGCATCATTCAGCTTGGCATACTATGCATAATGTCATATGTGGGGGAGCAAAATTAATGGATAAGTACTTGGAAGCTTTGGAAGATTCCAAAGTAAACATCCATGTCATCCAAGGTAGTCAGGACCAAGTAGTTCCTTTGGAATGCAGCAACAATATTAAGATGAAAGTCCCAGATGCAGAGGTTAGCATTGTTGAAAATGCTGACCATACTAATGTAATTCTACATAGAGAGAAGGATTTCACTCAGGATCTAGAGCAAATATGGGCATCAACTGCTGATAGCAGAAGAGGGGAACAATGTTTTGGACAGGGCCAGCCCTGAGATTTTCGAAATCTAAGGCGGAATCTTAAAATTGGGGTCCTTCATGTGTAAATAATAAAAAAAATATTTATTTAAATTTTTTACTCTAAAGGTGTATAATATAAATTCAAGTTAATGTAATGCGAGTCATCCTTGTAATGAATGAGATTTATAAATATATATTTTTTGATTTGGTCTTCAAGAGAATTTTTTTTTTTTTTAACAAAAAGAAAAATCAAATTTAGAATTCATCAAATTTGAATTTGATGAAAATTTAAAAAAATATTGAAGATAATTTTTTTTTCCATAATTTGATAAAAAGAAAATTTTGGGTTATGAAGGGAATTTTTAGAAAGATTTTTATGATAATTTGATGAAAGAGTTGGAGTAAGAGCATCTCTAACCGTTCACTTCTTTTTTCACCAAATCTGAATAAAAAATAGATTGTTTTCTCAATTTGATACGGCTTCCTCCAACGGTGAACATCAAACCTGTTGAACAAAATATATTCAGAATTGAGGAAAGGGTCGATCGGTAGGTGAATTATTTTTTTTTAACCTATTTGAACCTTTCGACCTGTTTGAACCCACCTGTTTGGGTCAACCGGCTGGTTGACCGGTAGGGGATTTTTTTTTTTATTAACCTGTTTGAACTTTTCGACCTGGTTTTGAACCTAGCTATTTGGGTTGACCGGTTGGTCAACCGGCCGGTCAACCGGCTTGTTGACCGATTGTTCCCCTCCAACGGTCAGGCACAGTAATTTGGTGAAACTTGTATTCTGTTCTTAGTTTGATGATTTTTTTGTTCAATTCTCATTTTGATACCAATTTAGTGAAACCGTTGGAGCTCCAAAAAGTGCATTTTTTTTTATCAAATTTCAAATCTGATGCCAGGTTTGTTGAACCGTTGGAGATGGTCTAATTCATATCAAATCAAGTTGTTTACTCAAATCTATAATAAAATTAAATTGAAAAAAAAAATAAAGAGTTAGTGATGCTCTAAAAACCTTTAATTTAAATTGTGAAGTTACATGAGTTGGTTTGGGCCTTTATTTTTAAACTTATTAGCACCACAAGACTTAGGGCTGGTTTGGGATCCACTAAAAAAAATAAAAAGTCAAAAAATTACTCAAAAAGTTAAAAAGTTATCACTATTCATCAAACAAAAAAATATAAAAAAATTAATATATAAATATTAAAAAATAATTCAACTTTTCGGCCCATCAGTCAAACCAACTGCCAAGAAAGGAAAAAAAAAATATTTTATAAGCATTCACTAAGTGACATTGGAAAAGTTGGGCATGTGCGGGCCTACCATGGGTTCCGTTTTGATAATCCGAACCAGTCCATATGTAGAACTTGTCTAGTACTATATGCTTGTAAAAAATCACGTTTACTGGATATCGCTAACAACATGATCCATATGTAGAACTTGTCTAGTACTATATGCCTGTAAAAAATCACGTCTATTGGATATCGCTAACAACATGACCAAATCAGTTTTGTATAAAAAATGAATGGTGTTATAGTTAACAGTTGACAAAAAAAACTAACACGATCAGATAGCTATCGATATCCAAGCAACGTGATTTTTTATAAGCATATAGTACTCGACGAGTTCTACACATTGAACGGTTCCGATTAGTAAAACGGGACCCATGGTGGGCCTCCATGGGCGGAACAGAACTGACCAACTTATACCCGAAAAGTAGAGAATCAATCTCCTACACACCCACTTCAGCGCTGTTTCCAACCGTACGGCCTACACCATTACTTTATTCCCCTATACACTTATTTATATAATTTTTTAATATACATTTTTTCATAAAAAGTCAAAAAGTTAATTCAACCATTCATATTTTTTTTTCAACTTTTTAATTTAAAAAGACAAAAAATGCACTTATTTAAGACACCCCAAACAACCCCTTAAAATTATTTGGGACCCTTAAAAAATTTGTTGAAATTTGGGAGTCCAAAGAAACCACCTTGCTCGCCTTGAGCTAGGGCTGGCTCTGGTTTTGGAAACGGTTGTACTTGAAAGCTTTTCCATGGTTTTTGTTTTTTTTTGTTTTTTGGTTTGGTATTATTTGTGATGCATTTTTTGGCTCATGGTAATTGAAATTTAGGCAAAACAAGTGGGATTTTACGAAAGGTAAATCGGATGCACCTTTGACAATTGGAAATATGAGCAACAATTTCTTTAATTGGTTCATTATTTGTCTGTCTAAGTGGAAATCTGTATCAAGTTTCGCAAAGGTTATTTTAGAATTGTTTAGCAGATGTTATTTTCGTATAATATTTTATTTGAGTCATAATAATTTTATTTAAGTTATATCACTTTTTATTTGAGATATATTATTTTTTCACTGCATTACTTGAATCCCAGCACACATTTCATATTTTTTTTAATATAAAAAATCAAAAAAATACTAATTTAACACTTCCTAAACAATCCATTAATAAGATTTGTATCAAGTACTTAGAATGTGTCATTTACAAAAGTTTCTGACCAATGTTAGGGTAGCCAGTCCTGAGAAGCATAATTGTAATTTGGAAACTATTTCAAATTCTCCCCTTGGGCAAAGGCCTGTCCGGGCAATACATATTTTGCCTCGTCTTCTTTTTGACTAGTTGGGGCATCAAAATTTTAGTTAAATTTTAATTAAAAAAAAAATATTTTTATTTTAACTAATCATCTTTTCAATTACATTCCCAAATAGACTCTCTATTTTTTTACGCTCTTCTATTCTTTTTTTTATTTTTTTAATTTCAAATTTAATATTTAAGAGAGAATTAAAATAAGGATGAAATATCAATAAATTTCAAAATATGATCTTTTGAACGATTTAGTTCTTCTTTTTTTTCTTATAAATCCAAAGGTTCCACTAACGTGAAAATTACATAAAAGGATAGTTACTTACATATTTGGATTTAATTTTTTAGGGATAAAATGATTTTCTCAAAATATAAAATTACACATTGGGGCAATTTGCATAATAGAAGTTTTGGATTTTCCCTCATTCAACAAAAACCTAAACTCTAATGTAACACTCTAATAACATAACACTTCAATGTAACATATTAAAAAACTCATTGGTATACTTTTTCCAAACGTAACAACGTAACACTTAAAAAAAATTCTTCAGTGTACTTTTCCCAAACATAACGCTCCAATGTAAAATAAAAATAAAAAATCTTTAGTGTGTTTTTCCCAAACGTAACACTTCAATCAGTGTAATCTCAAACATAACACTTCAATGTAACATATTCCAATGTAACATATAAAAACACTAAAAAAACTCTTTAGTGTATCTTTTTCAAACGTAACACTCACAGTTTGAAATTATACATTTGTTCAAAACTTACAAATGAATATTTATACTCCTTTTTGCATGGTTTGAAGAATCTCACATTTTTTTTCTTTTTTTTAGTGTTACATTGGAGTGTTGCGTTTAGGAAAAGGACAAAAAAAAGTTTTTTTTTTTTTTTTTGTATTGCATTGTAGTGTTACGTTTGGGATAAGCATACCAAAGAGTTTTTTTTGTGTGTTACATTAAAGTGTTATATTAAGAAATTTTTTTTGGAATGTTATGTTGAAGTATTATGTTTAAAAAAAGTACACTAATGAGTTTTTTTGTGTGTTATATTAGAATGTTACACTAAGGAGTTTTTGTGTGTTGCGTTAGAGTGTTACACTAAGAAATTTTTTTAGAGTATTATATTAGAATGTTACATTTGAAAAAAGTACATTAAGAAATTTTTTTATATGTTACGTTAGAAAAGTGTTATACTAAGGAATTTTTGCATTTGTTAAATTAAAATGTTACATTAAAGAGTTTTTTTAATGTGTTATATTAGAGTGTTACATTTGAGAAAAATATACTAAAAAGTTTTTTTGTGTGTTACATTAGAGTGTTACAATAAGAAATTTTTGTGTGTGTTACTTTAGAGTGTTACGTTAAGGATTTTTTTGGAGTGTTACGTTTGAAAAAATTACAGTAATGATTTTTTTTATGTGTTATCTTAGTGTTACATTTGGATGTTAATTAATATCAACGTTATAATGCCAATGTTACAATAAGGACGAACACCACACCAATAACACTATAAACGGGGTAACATCATTCACCTATAAATCACTCCACTAAATCTCCGCAAAAAAAATAGAAACGTAAAAACCTACCATATCCACGCACACACAACATTAGGAAAAAAAAATCCAAACAAAATCACACACAAGGGAAAATAAGTAAACTTTCAAACCCCCAAATCAAGGAAATACAATATACCTAAAATAAAAAGGACTAATTAGTTTAAAAGAAAACTTCTAGAACTAAATGGAATAGCTTTTCTTCAAATGAGATTTATGAATAATTTTTCTTTAAAATAATGAATGATCACATTTGTTTAGGATAATGATAAATAAATAAAATTTTGGATAAATCACATTGACATCTCTTAAAGTTTGGATAAAATACAGTAAATTTACAATTTTTGCATAATTATATTGGACTCTTTTAAGATTTTAACACTTAACCCACTTTTCTTCATAATTTTTTAGTCTTATGGATGAAAAAGTGTTATTGTCATCTCTTTTATATTGAAATGTATATTTTATTTTATACATTTGTTCTGATCCCTTTAAGCTTTCTAGTAAAGAGGTTGATTTAATTATTTCAAAACTGCGAGGTTTCTTGTATCCAGACTTCAGGGAAGTTAATGTAATTTATCCTAAAAAAATCTTCATACAAAATGATGTGACCCTTTATGCTCTGTTCATCTTAAATTAAAATACCTATCATTCTAACTTATATTTTAAAAAATAACACAATTATATCATTCTTGTTCATTTTTTTTTTGGTATAAAAATTTTGTTTGTAAATCATTTTTCTTAATTTATCAAATTGTGTTTATTTTTTCATGCATTATAATTGCATTAGTTTAATGATTTCACCACTCATATATATTATTAATATAGTAATAATTTATTAAATGATAAATGAAACATAATAAATATAATATAATATATTAAATATTTTATTACTTAAAAGTCATTTGTTGAGCCTTCTTTTCCTAGCTACGTGAAGCGAGTGGTTTGATATTCAACTAAAATAGCTAGTGAAAAATTGAATTTAATGAAATGTGTTTATATGATTTTGTACTATAAAATATTCAAGAAAAGCTGTAACGAGATTGATAATAA